CCCAGACCCACGAGGGCCCCGCATGAGCTGACCCAGACCCCCGAGGGCCCCGCGCGAGCAGACCGTGCGCTGACCCAGACCCACGAGGGCCCCACATGAGCTAACTCAGACCCACGACGGCCCCGCGAGAGCAGACCCAGACCCACGACGGCCCCGCATGAGCTAACCCAGACCCACGAGGGCCCCGCGTGAGCTAACCCAGACCCCCGAGGGCCCCGCGCAAGCAGACCGCGCTGTGTGGCTTCATGGCTGGGCTTCTCGGCAGCGGATCACCAGGCCTGCCTTCTGCAGCGCTCCTGGGTGGGTTCAGACCCCCAACCTTCCAGTGAGGAGCTGCATGCTTCACCGTTTGTGCCCCAGGGACCCCTCTAGCCTTGGGCCCTCTCAGCCATGAGAGTGCTGGGGCGTCCTGGCTGCCAGGCCCAGGGCAGAGGTGGTCCTCAGTGCAGGATCCAGACCTGAGCCTGTAGGGCGAGGCCCACAGGGAGCCCAGGACAGGCACTGACCGGGCCCGTCCCCAGGGCAGGGGGGTAGGAAGCCGAGGCAGTGAGCACACAGCTGTGCAGTGCCCCCGCCCCCCGGAAGGGCCATCTGGTGCCCAGCCCTAGGCCTGGGCTCGGATCCATCAATGGCTGGGTGACCATTGATGCCAAGTGGACGGGGAGGCCCAGCTGTGCGTCTCCTAACCTCCCTCCCCCCAAGGCAGCTCCAGTCGCCTTCAACCAGCTATGGCAAGACGGAGGTCACTCCAGGAGACACAGCCTGCCCTCCACGCGGCATGGCCACTCAGAGCAGGGCCGGTTCCTCTTCTCATCCACCAGGCGGCTCTGATCCCCTTCCCACCACCACGCACATGCCTCCCCTGGCCCAGCTAGGAAAGAAGCCCCCCACCACAGCACACGCACACATACACACACCGCCCACACAGGAAGAACTGCAGGCATTTGCCGGACGTTCCAAAGTCAGCTCTGAAGACAGCAGGACCCGGGGCCCCTGACACTGGGCTGCGCAGGAGGGAGGGGGAGTTGGGCCTACAGGTGCTAACCTTCTCAGGGGGAGCACGGGCATCCACCATCCCTTGTGCGAGCAGCCTGTCCCCCCTCCAGGACCAAAGGCTCCGGCCTGGCTTCAGGGGAGCTTTCAGACTGATACAGACTGGGAAGGGTGACGGGTCACCCACTTCTGAAACAGGTGGCAGTGAAACCCTCATGAACAACAGTGAAACACTGTTTGATATGTTACTGGGAAACTTTATGAAGAGCCTGAAACTGTCCGATACAGTGCCGGAAGATGAGCCCCTCGGGTCGGAGGACACGCAAAATACAACTAGGGAAGAGCGGACTCCTCAGAGTCGAGTCGCCCTTAACGACGTGGATGGAGGAAAGCTTTCAGGGCCTCCATTTGCTGATGGGGCATGACTCGCAATGACAAGAAACAGCTGCACACTTCCGTGGATAATCAGAACGTGGAATGTACAAAGTACAAATCTAGGAAAACTGGAAGTTGTCAAAACTGAAATGGAACACATAAAGACCGATGTTCTAGGCATTAGTGAGCTGAAATAGACTGGTTTGGGCCATTCTGAATCAGACAATATGCTACTGTGTGGGGAATGACAAATTGAAGAGGAATGGTGTGGCATTCATCGTCACAAAGGATGTTTCAAGATCAGTCCTGAACTACAATGCTGTCAGTGATAGGACAATATCCATATGGCTACAAGGAAGGTCAGTTAATACTACTGTTCAACTCTACACACTAACTTCTAAAGCCAAAGATGAAGAAATTGAAGATTTTTCCAACTTCTGTATCTGAAATTGACCAAACATGCAGTCAAGATACGTTGACTATCACTGGTGACTGAAACGCACAAGTTGGAAACAAAGAACTCATTGCAGGAAAATGTGGCCTTGGGGATCTCATGATAAAGTTTTGTGAGAACAATGACTTATTCACTGCAAATACCACTTTTCAACAACACAAATGGCGGCTACACACATGGACGCCACCAGATGGAGTACACAGGAATCAGAGCGACTGCATCGCTGGGAAGAGGTGATGGAGAGCTCAACACCTTCAGCCAAAACCAGGCCAGGAGCTGACTGAACAGACCATCAATGCTCATATGCAAGTTCAAGCTGAAGTTGAAGACAATGAAAACAAGTCCATGACAGCCAAAATATGACCTTGATTATATCCCTCCCGAATACAGAGACCATCTAAATAGATTTGATGCACTGAACACCAATGACGAAAAACCAGAGGAACTGTGGGATGACATCAAGAACATCATCCGTGAAGAAAGCAAAAGATGGGAAAGAAAAAAAAAAAAGACCAAAATGGATGTCAGAAGAGACTCTGAAGCTTGCCCTTGAGTGGAGAGTAGCTAAAGCAAATGGAAGAAATGACAAGATAAAAGAGCTGAAGAGAAGATTTCAAAGAGCAGCTTGAGCAGACAAAGCCAATTACTGTAATGAAATGTGCAAAGACCTGGAGTTAGAAAACCAAAAGGGAAGAATAAGCTTAGCATTTCTCAAGCTGAAATGAAAGCATTTGAAGAAAAATTCAAGCTTTGTGTTGCAATAGTGAAAGATTTTATGGACAAAATATTGAATGATGCAGGAAACATCAAAAGAAGATGGAAGGAATACACAGTCACTGCACCAAAATGAACTGGTCAACATTCATCCATTTCAGGAGGTGGCATATGGTCAAGAACCAGCGGTACTGAAGGAAGAGGTCAATGCTGCACGGAAGGAACTGTCGAAGAACAAGGCTCCGGGAGTTGACGGAAAACCCACTGAGATGTTTCAAGAAACGGGTGCAGTGCTGCAGGCACTTACTCATTTATGCCAAGAATATGGAAGACGCTGCCTGGCCAACTGACTGGAAGAGACTGTATCCGCACCATTCCAAAGAAAGGTGCTCCCACAGAATGTGGAAATTATTGAACAATATCAGTATCACAAGGAAGTAAAATCTTACTGAAGATAATTCAAAAATGGTTGCAGTAGTATATTGATAGGGAACTTCAAGAAATGCAAGCTGGATTCAGAAGAGGACGTGGAACAAGGGATATCATTGCTGATATCTGATGGATCTTGACTGAAAGCAAAGAATACCAGAAAGATGTTTATCTGTGTCTTATCGACTATGAAAAGGCATTCAACTGTGTGGATCATAACAAATTATGGATAACATCAAGAAGAATGGGAATTCCAGAACACTTTATTGTTCTCATGAGGAACCTGTACACAGACCAAGAGTCTGTTCAAACAAAACAAGGGGTTACGGCATGGTTTAATATCAAGAAAGGCATATGTCAGGGTTGGGTCCTTTCACCACACTTATTCAATGTGTGTGCTGAGCAAATAATCTGAGAAGCTGGACTATATGAAGAAGTATGCAACATCAAGATTGAAAGAAGGCTCGTTAACAACCTGTGATATACTGAGAATGCAACTTTGTTTGCTGAAAGTGAGGATGAAGAAGCACTTACTGATGAAGATTACAGACTTCAGTCTGCAGCATGGATTACACCACAACATAAACAGAATGAAGATCCTCACAAGTGGACCAATGAACAGCATCACGGTAGATGGAGAAAAGACTGAAGTTGTCAAAGATTTCATTTTACTTGGATCTACAATCAACACCCATGGAAGCAGCAGACTCGCAGTAAGACAGTGTACTGCAGTGGGCAAAGGTGCTGCAGGAGACCTCTGTAAATTGTTTAGCAGCAGAGACGTCACTCTGAAGACAGAGCACGTGACCCAAGCCATAGTATTTTCAGCTGCCTCACGTGCACATGAAAGCTGGGTAACTAACAGGGAACAGGGAAGAAGAGTTGCTGCTTCTGAGTTGTGGTGCTGGTGAAGAATACCGAAGGTACCATGGCCTGCCCGAAGAAGGAATAAACTGCCCTGGAGGAAGTGCAGCCGGAATGCTCCTTGGAGGTGAGAATGGTCAGACTTCGTCTCACCTACTTTGGTCACATTGTCAGCAGGGACCAGTCCCTGGAGGATCAGCAGGGACCAGGCCCCAGAGGAGCCAGGCCCAGGAAAGTAATGGGCCAATGGAAAAGGGGGAGAGGCCCAGCAAAACGGGTCGACACAGCGGCTGCGACGGCGGGCTCAGTGTAGCAGGGACTGTGAGGCTGGCGCAGGACCGGACAGCAACTCGTTGTGTTGCACACGGGGTCACCAGGAGTTGGAGGTGATTTGACGGCACCTAACCACCACCTGCTTGGTGCTGGGCACTGCAGATCAGGGTGGGCCTCTGGACACAGATGCTGCAGATGGGGGGCTAGGCCAGGTGTGAGCCCTCGACACCCAGGTGTGACCTTGCCGCCCCCACATTCCTGACGGCAGGTCCACGTGGGGCAGACCCTGGCCTTCACATCCTCCCTCCTGGCCTTCACATCCTCAGAGGCATCTGGGCAGCCCAGGTGAGGGAGGGGCGGGTGCAGGGCTCCGTATCTGGGTGAGGGCGTTCCTCATGGTTCTCTTGTCCTGCCCACCTTCCTCTCAGTCAGACGGGAGATCAGTGCGACCACAGTCCCCAAACGGCCCACCCTGGAGGCCTCGGCCCCACCAAGGGTCTGTCAGACTCCACATCCCAGACATGATTTTATTTGACCCTGTCCCACAGTGGCCCACAGGCTGGCGGGTGGGAGACCTCGGGGTGAGGTGGGACAGGCGTGAATAGAACCTATGAACGGGGCTATTGCAACAGACCCCTCACCAGTGAAGACTTCTGGCTGGAGCTACACCTTGGAGAAGACAGGGCTGGCCAACCCGGGCCTCCCCTGGGCCCCAGAAACTTTCTGGAACCTTGGCCAGCCTGGCCGGGCCCAGGGATGGCTGATGCAGCTGGGCTTCCAGAGGGTCGGGCAGCAGCTGCCAAGTGTGGCATGCCCAGCCCAGCTCGCTCCCCCAGGGCGCCTCAAGGTCAGCAGAGGCAGCTGGCAGCCTGGCGCTGGGTCGGGGCACAGCACTGGGTCAGGGCGCACCACTGGGTCGGGGTGTGGGGCCTGGACCACTGCCCACGCCATCACCAGAGCCCTCAGAGGCCACTTGTGATCTGTCCTTGCCCCTCTGGAGAGTGTAGGCGGACGGCCCGAGCCGCAGGATCTTTCCGCTGCCCAGGCACTCGTCCCCCTTGTAGAAGACAGCAAACTGCAGGACAGAGAGGCCCGAGGTCAGCGCAGGCGGGGCCCGGCATCCAGGGGAGGGGCACAGCACCCCCAGCAGTTCACCAGGGACAGGGAGGTCGGGGCCAGGGACCGAGTGGACAGCCACAAGGCCTCGCCACACAGCTGTGCCTGCAGCCCGGGCTCACCTGGCCAATGGGGCTGGAGGGAGGCAGGGAGGTTCAGCCCCCCTCCACTGAGGTTCCCTGAGGGCCCCCAAGTCCCAACCAGCTGCCGTCGTACACCTGCAGTGCCCACCCCTCACACCATCCTCAGCCCACACTTCAGTGGTGTCCCCTTCCTTGGAGCTCCTGCAGTCAGCCCCACAGGGCACCCCGTTCCTCTACCTGCCAAGCACAAGCCACCTCTCCCAACTCTGTCCCTGCCCTGAGGCCTGGCCGGGAGGGAGCAGGAGCCAGGCCAGAGAGCTGAGGTCTCGGGCTGGTCCCAGCCAGCTCTCCCCGTGCGCCAACATCACTGTCATCGCTAAAGCAGGAAGGACACCCTCTGAGCCCCATCTCCCTCCCTGTAAATGAGTGGGGCCGGTCGGCTTTGTGGCACCTCCTCACAGAAGGATGGCGGCTCAGAGACCTCGGCCACACACAGGCCCCCACCCACGGCCACAGGCAGGTGCCTTCTTGCCCTGCACTGGGTGCCACCTCCTCCATCCGGGGCACCACAGAGCTGGGCGTGCCACGCTCACCCCTCAGGACAGCCTGCACCTCTGGGGCCACACTCACCTGCCCGGGAGCGAGCGCCCGCACAGCCTTCACTGCAGTCACCCACACGGTGCCATCCTGGTTGAGGGTCAGTACACAAGGCACTAGAGGGGAAGAGGGCTGATGGGGGGCTGGCCTCAGGCCTCCCGGGAAGGAGGAGCACTAATGGGGGCAGGGGAGACTGCTGCTCAGAGGGACTCCAGCGCACCACCTCCATCAGGAAGGGTCGGCAACGTCAGGGGCCAGGGAGCGCCACCAGGGCCTCTGGGCGTTGACAGGGCCCTGCCTCCCGTCCCAGCTGCACCCACACCCACAACCCAGAGCCACCCAGGGCTCAACAGCAGACACCCCCTGACTCGGCTGCCCCGACACCGGGCAGCAAGCTGCTACTCAGCCCCCCCGGCCTCCCCGTGGCAGGGAGGGCAGGGGCCTGGACTGCATCATACTGTCTGAACAGCCAGGGACTGTCCTGCTCATGGTCAAATCCCCACTGTCCCAGGAGCCTGGCTCAGCCCAGGAAGCTTGGGCCTGAGTGGCCTCCGGGCCCCTGCGGCTCAGTCACCTAGCGCCATCTGGTGGCGGAACCGGAAGTGGCACTCCATCATCTTGTCGCGGACCAGGACGGCAGGCGGCTCCTCAGCAATCCAGTGCACGCGGCTGGTGCGAAGCAGCTCCCGGTACAAGGCGGGGTGGTCCACGTGGGGGGCCTGAGGGGCGGACGTGCAGGCATGACGCCCCAGAGCCTGACCAGGGAGGGCCGCACCCACACCCACCTCGGCCCTCGTTCACCCCATCACGCCGAGCAGCAGGCACGGTGACGTGGGCCACTACGGACAGGCCAGTCAGTGCGCACACGTGGCCACCCTCACCACCTCACAGGCCCTTGAGTCTCACCCTGTAGACGAGGAAATGGGGTGGGCGGCGGTGGCTCGCCCAGGGTGACAACACAAAAGAGGCGGCAGGGAGGTGAGCGTGCGCCCAGCCTGCAGGCGCTCTGCGGAGCCGGGAGTCTCACAGGCCTTCCGCCTGCAGCCTGCCAGGGGCGGCGGCCGACCCGGGACCCCGTCCAACACCGTCGGCCAGAGGAAAGGAGGGGAAGGTGGCCGCCAGCCCCTCAGGCAGGCGCCGGGAGGCTGTGCTCACAGGCCACAGCTGGCCTGGTCTGCTCAGGGCGGTTGAGGCCCCAGGTCCCTACCCACCACTCACTCTCCAGCCCCTGTAACTCTGAAGCTTGGGGCCAGGGGTCCCTGAAGCCCTTTCTCCTGAAGCGGCAGAGCAGCAGCAAGTCTAGGGGCCTCGGGGCCTGAGGAGGGAGGACGGCCCAAAGGGACCGAGGTCGGCTGACCGTCCTTCTGGTTCCCTCGTAGCAAACCAGACACTGGAGCCCCATTCCTGCCCCTGCACCTGACCCAGGCCTGCACTGCATGGCTCCTTACAGAGGGGGCTGAGGCTGGCCACCGAGGCCTGCACGCTTTCTGGCTGCATGGAACAGAGGGTCCCCCACCACCGTGACAGGGTGCTAGGAGGCACTCAGCCACACATTTCCCGGCTGGCGCTGTTGAGAACAGGCGGTCGGTCTGCTGTGGGCCTCCTGTTAGCAGCATCCCAGCCTCTACTCACTAGATGCCAGCAGCATCTCCCCAAGTCATCCTTCTCAGTGGTGACAGCCACAAACATCTCTAAACCCTGTCAGATGTCCCGGGAGTAGGGCCCTGCCTGGCTGAGAAGCCCCAGGCCAGTGTGGGGCAGCACAGGCCCCAGGGAGCGTGGTCTCTGGCGTGGGGGCTCAGAGCAGTGTCTGCTCACAGGACCGATGCCATGACAATAGGACGAGCGCTCCCCAAATGCGCTCAAGACAGCCTCCCCTATGGTCACGACCTGGTGGGGGTCAGCACACCAGGCCCTGGGGGCAAGAGTGGCCTGAGAGGGGCTGGCCTCAGACCCCGAGGAGGAGGAGCACTAATGGGGAGGACGGGGTGCTGCTCAGAGAACCCCCAGTATCACCACGACCTGGGAAGAAGGCTCCCGCCCTCCCGCACCCCTGCTGCCCCAGGTACTGCCCCACCCTGCCATCCCCTCCACACCACCCTGGGTCCTGCCCCAGGTACTGCTCCTGCCCTGCCACCCCAGCCCCACTGCCCCTGCTCTGCCCCCATGTGGCTCTGCTGGGTGCAGATCTCGTCCCCTGGGTACCCACCACGAAAACATCACCCCTGGTGCTGTCCTTCTCCACCACGTACCAGGGCTCCCGCAGGCCGCCGATCCTGGCTCTCTGGCCTAGAGTGTACAGGAACCAGCCTGTGGAGGCCCAGTGCACAGTGAGCCTCAGGCCAGTTCCTAACCCCGCACTTCGACTAGCAGGGAGGGCACAGGGACCACCAGGGAGCCAGCTGGCAGCCCCGGGGCGGCAGTGCTCACCCAGAGCCAGGTCCCTCGGGCAGAGATGGCCTCCTGGGGACCTCAGACCAGAAGGCACTCACCCAGCCAGGCCTGTGTCAGACACCAGGCACCAGGAATGAGAAGCTCCAGCCAAGGGCTCCTGGCCCACAGAGCAGGGCAGATCCTTGAGAATGCTGGGCCGTCCTGAGGGTCCCAATGGACCCACACTTGCAGGTATGCCTGCCGTCTGATGCATAAAGTGGCCTTGGCCACCCCCACACCTTTTCTCTGGGCAGCTTTCTAACTGCTCTCGGTATCATTGCCCCCAAACAAGTCCCTTCTGTCCCCTCACCCGGGGACAGTGCTGCCCCGGCAGTGAGGTCCTGGCAGCAGTCAGCACACCCTGAGCTCAGATGCCGATGCAGACAGAGCTACACACAGGGTCACAGGCATAGACCAGGGTCACCGAGCCACCACCTGGGGATGGGACTGCGCAGATCCAGCAGTCCTGGCCAAGGGCCACCTCCTCCTCGGTCAGGGATGTGCAACAAACCAAACACCTGCCAGGGCGCTGCCCCGCACCCCCAGGCCCTCTGAGGGGCCACCTGACATCCAACTAGTGGTCTGTACTAGCCTGCTCCCGACAGGAGGGAGACCTCGGAGACTGTTTCACGTCTGTCCTCTGCACGTCTCGCACAGAGAGGCCCCAGGCCCACCCCTGGAGCTCCCACGGCCGGCTTTCCCACTGGGCGGCGGCCAAGCCAGGTGAGAAACTCCACGTGTGGGACGCCTGACACCGCTGATCACATGGGCTTTCATCACGAAAGCCGTACTATGATGACAACAGAACTCCTTCCGCCAAAGCAGGTCTCTATCATTTTCCTCCTACGCTGTAATTGCTGCTGTTAGGTGCTGTCAAGTCGGTTCTGACGCCTAACGACCGCACGTGCACACACGAAACGCGGCCCCTCCCGTGCCATCTCCAGTCACTGGCATGCTTGAGCTCATCACTGCAGACCCGGGGTTACTGCGACTCGCTGGGGGTCCTCCCCGTTCACTGATCCTCAGCTTTACGAGGCAGGATCAACCTCCCCAGGGACTGGTCCCTTCTGACAACATGACAAGAGGACAGGAGGGGAAGTCTTACATCCTCTTTCTAAGGAGCATCCCGACGGAACTTCTTCCAAGACAGACTTGTTCATTCTTCCCAACAGTTCAAGGCCCATTCAGCATTCTCCACCAACACCACAATTCAAAGGCATATGAGGTGCCTAAAAATGCCATGGCTTGGGTCAGGGACACTTTAGTCTTTAAAAGGACATCTTTGTTCCTCAACAATTTAAAGAGGTCTTTTGAAGCAAATGTGCCCAGTGCGAGACATTGTTTGATTTCTTTGCTGTTTGTGTGGGTGTGGACTGTGGATCCAAGTAAAATGAAATCCTTGACAACTTTGATCTTCTTCTCTCCATTTATCGTGATGTTGCCTATTGGTCCAGTTGTGAGGATTTTTGTTTTATGTCGAGGTATAATCCATACTGAAGGCTGTAGTCTTTGATGTCATCAGAAAGTGCTTCAAGTCCTCCTCACTTTTAATAAGCAAGGTTGTATCATCTGCATATCACATGTTGTTATTAAGTCTTCCTTCAATCCCAATGCTGTGTTCTTCTTCGGACAGCCCAGCTTCTCAGATTATTTGCTCAGCACACAGACTGAGTAAGTGTGGGGAAAGGATACAACCGACACACACCTTACCTGATCTGAAACCATGCAATGCAGTACCCCCTTGTTCTGTTCAAATGACTGCCCCACGGACTATGTAGATTCCACACGAACACAACGAAGTGTTCTGGAATTCCCATTCTTCACAATGGTATCCATAATTTGTTATGATCCACACAGTCAAATGTCTTCACACAGTTAATAAAACACAGAGAAACATCTTTCTGGTATTCTTTGCTTTCAGCCAAGATCCATCTGGCATTAGCAGTGATATCCCCCGTTCCATGTCCTCTTCTGAATCCAGCTTGCATTCCTGGAAGCTCCCTGTCAATATACTGCTGCAACCGTTTTTGAATTACGTTCAGCAAGATTTTACTTGCATGTGATACTTATGATACTGTTTGTTAATTTCCACATTGTGTTGGTCACCTTTCTTTGGAATGGGCACAAATACAGATCACTTCTGGTCAGCTGGCTAGGTAGCTATCTTCCAAATTTCTTAGCATAGACAAGTAAGCACCTCTGTCCGTTTGAAACATCTCAGTTGGTTAGTCTGTCAGTTCCTGAAGCCTTATTTTTCATCAATTCCTTCAGTGCAGCTTGGACTTCTTCCTTCAACACCATTGGTTCTTGATCATATGCCGCCTCCTGAAATGGCTGAATGTCAACCAGTCCTTTTTGGTGCAGTGACTCTGTACTTCTTCCAACTTCTTTGGCCGTTTCCTGCATCATTCAACATTTTGCCTGTAGAATCCTTCAACAGGGCAACTCGAGGCTTGAATTTGTTCCTTCGGTTCTTTCTGCTTGAGAAAAGCTGAGTATGCTCTTCCCTTCGAATTTCCAACCCCAGTTGTTTGCACATTTCTCCATTAACAGACTTTGCCTTCTCCAGCTGCTGACTTGACAGCACCTAACAGCCACATGCAGCGAGTAGGTCTGGCTCTGAAAAGCTTGCAAGCAGCCACCTAAGATCCAGCTATTGGTCTCTACTTGGCCCAAGAAGAAGAGAAAAGTGGAAAAGATGGACTCAGAAAGAAAGTAGCCTACAGAACAAACAATCTATGGATCCACGACCTCAGCCACCCTGAGATCAGAGGGACTAGAAGGTGCCTGGCCACCACTACTGGCCATTTTGATTAGGACAACAGACAGACCCTGACAGAGTGGCAGAAAAACATGGAACAGAACTCGAATTCTTAGAAAGTGCAGACTTATTGGTCTGGTTGAACTAGAGGACTCCCTAAGGCTACTGCCCTGAGATACTCTTTAAACTGAGAAGCCTGAGTATTTATTCTTTGAAGTCATCTTTTAGCTGAATAACAGACTGACTCATACATTACAGACCCACCCACGAGTGATGGGCTCCTATCACAGATCACCTGCATGAGCCCAAACGGTTGACATCCACTATACAGCACAGATGAGAAAGCAAGGGGCCGGGGAAACTAGATTAACAGAAACAGAGCCACCAGAATGGAAATGCAAATGCTGACACACTGCAAAATGTAGCCAATGTCACTGAAAAACATGCAGGAAATTGTTAAATGGGAATCTATTTGCATAAAAATACATTTACAAAAAAGAAAGGCGCCCACATCTTGACACACTAACTCTCCAGTCAGAGCCTGGACTAAACGCCCTGTGTCCCAGATGTCTGCCTCCACAGCCCAGCCCCACGCCCCACTGGCTGACAGGGGCCTAGGCATCCTAACGTCCCGGTGCCGAGGCCCACCCCCGCTCAGGAGTCAGAGGGACAGCGGCCGGGTGGCCTCTCACCTTGGTGTGCTCCCAGCACCTTGCTGTCTTCTATGGAAATGAAGTTCCCAGGCCGAGGCTGCAGATACTGGAAAGTAAATCGTGTTACTGAAGAGGCTGGCCCAGGCTGGGGCAACGGCTCTGTGCTCTACATCCAACAACACCCACCTGAAGAATGAACTTCTCAAAGTTTCTTTTACCCACGAAGCAGATGCCCATGCTCTGAAATGACAGGGGGCAGGGTGAGCAGAGATGATGGTGGGAGGCAGCCTCTGCCAGGTGGGGCTTGGGCTCCATTCTGAAACCCTGAGCAGTGCCCCCTGGACCAGCCACCCCCTTCTGGCAAAGGGCCTGGCTGTCCCCCGCAGCACGTCTTAGCCCTCCCAGTGTTTATGGAGGTCCCAAGACTTGGGTCCTATCACCGAGGAAGTGACATTGCTTCATTCCCATGCCCGGCAGTCCCGGCCCAATGGCGGATGCCAGACTTGCTGCCCCAGGAAACGACCTTGGGCAAGGAGTGCAGCAAACCCCAGCAGCAGAGAGAAAATCCAGTCTGTCGAGCCTCCAGGCCCCCGGCCCAGAGTGTGAGGCAGGGCTGGAAAAGGCCCAGGAAGGAGGCTGGGGGGCCAGGGCTCAAAGCTGCAGCGGGAGGCTTGGGAGGGAGACCCCTGGCCCTGGAGCTGTTCTCAGCACAGGAAGACAGAGCTGCAGAAGACTCCCCCCACTGCTGTACCGCCAGACGCTTCACCCCAATTATCTGCTGTGTCTCCCTCTGGGAGGGGGGTTCTGTGGGGCAGGGGCCTGTGCCATATAGCCCTAGAGCTCCCTCAGCTCCTACCACCCAACAATACCCAGAAACTGAATAGTAGAAATGGTAGGTGGGTGGGTGGATGGGTGGACTGGTAGGTGAGGGATTAGTGGGGGTAGATGGATGAATGAGTGGGTGGGGAGAGAGGAAGGTAAATAGGAGTTGGGTGGGTGGCTGGGTAGATGGGTGGGTGGGTGAACTGACAGGTGAGGGGTTAGGTGGGTAGAGGGATGGATGAGTTGGGGGGGACATACAGGGGTTGACAGGAGTTGGGTGGGTGGATAGATGGACAGATGGATGGGTGGGTAGGTGGGTGGGTGGACTGATGGGTGAGGGGTTAGGTGGGTGGATAGATAGAGAAGGAGGTGGGGAAGTAGTGGGGTAGAGGGAGATGGATGGATAGGTGGGTGGGTGCCTTCCACGGGAACAACAATTTGCTGATAAGGCATGGCCCGCTCTTCCCTGTGCCATGCAAACCCAGAAACGGTCAAAGGCCCACTGCCCACTCACACCTCCTTCCTCTGAAGCACGTGATGAAGTCCGTTCTCAGCAGCAATTTTCTTTACAAACTCTTTGGTTAATCCCCCCAGAGGGAAGATGGTTCTCCGCAGGGCATCCTGGGAAACCTGGCTGAGAAAGAAGGTCTGGTCTTTATAGCTGTCAGCTGCCTGCAGGAGTCTTACCGCTGCCAAGAGCAAAGAACAAAAGATGTTGGTGGAATAAACAAGGTGACATCTGGCCTTTAATGAAAACTCAATCCTCATCAGCCACGGGTGATGCGCTCACTCTCACTAACTAACGTCGAGTCAGATC